GTGTGTGTGTGTGTGTGTGTGTGTGTGTGTGTGTGTGTGTGTGTGTGCGCTATGACAAGGCTCGCAGCTCTGAGGAGACTGATACAGCCCTGTTACCTTGGAGGCGACCCATATGGCAGGAGCCAAAGCGATGTTGACGGGATCACTGCCACCTTGGTCATAATGAGATCCAGTTTAGCCCTAATGTCAGACAGGATGACAGTAAGAGTTGGGCCACATGGCAGCCAGCCAGGCAGGCTAGGAAGCAGACAGACACAAATACAGATATACATACATACATACAATTACGTACACACGGACACCATATAGATATAGAAATGTCTTAGGTAAAATGCAAGAATATCATTTTTTTCCAGACATTTCTGCCTACATTCAGTGTCCTGTTACACCAGTAGTATTGTATTGATTGACGGCTATACATAGACATAAACATGGGCTTATTGTATCCTGCCTGAAATGTGAAAATGCACTGCAGGAAATCTGTGGCACTGCCGAGCGTTGGGCTTTCTATATGGTGCCCAGGCCCAATATTTCATAGGCAAAAATGTTACGCAACCATTAAAAAGCACAACTAAAACTCTTTCATCCGCTGAAGCCTTGGATGATAGAGTGTAAAATCCCTTGGCTCGTTTTTTTTCTCCTCACTTTGGTTTCCTGTGTAAATGGTTTTAATTAAAAATGGCTGCTCATCTGAGCAGTCTGGATTACTTTGTGCAAAAACCTTTTGACTCAGATTCACAAGAGAGGAGGAAGGGGGGGAATGAAATAAGTCGCCCGAATTGTTGTATTTGTGTAATGTTTGATTTAAACTTAATGCTAAATCAAACTAGGTGTCCAGGACGCTGTATTGTACGCGATTAGAGGTTTGGATGCTGAGATTTTTCGAATACAAAAAAGTTGAATTCCTTTATTTATTCTCTTTAAGGTTATTTAAAAAGCTGTGGACTGTAGTTTTAAATCCATTATGAAGCAAGTCAGATTTGTATGAAATATGGAAATTATCATTAGATGACCTACATTTGTGTGCTGGATTATGTTTGTTCGCTGTCTAAATCTCCAAATCTCTTTTCACCCTATTTAGGGTATTTTTGTCCTGGTTTTCACAGTAGTGTTTCACCAAATAGAATTACTCTAAAACTTGTCAGCCCCCTGACCTAATAATTTCATAATCTGACAAATGGTTAAGACTCAAAAAAATAGAAGCCAACAATGTATTTTTTCATTTAGCTCTTATTATTGCCATGGGAAAAGTAGCACTTTACTATAGGGCGTCATTTCCCTCGCTTTAAGCTTGCAGCCAGATCAATAGAGAGTCCATCATGAGGAAGCACCAGGGAGAATGCTTTGCACTGGACTCTGGCCAACCCTCAATGTTCTGCAGAGGGATGAAAAGGCATACTCCTGAGAGCACACTAATAAGGCTTTAATTGTATGTTCCTCCACTAAATTAATGGATGGAAATGATTTGATTAATTCAGACACTGCTGGGTACTAATATCCAATTAAATACCAACACCAGGCATGCACAGGGGCTCCCAGTGCATTATGGGTTCCTGACTATAAAGCGGGCAGCTGCTAGTTTGGGTTGTGAAAAGGATGTTACAGGTGTATGTGTTGGAGAATGGCTGTGTGGGTCTCGTCTGTCTCTACTACTGTGGCAAAGATGATGTCTTATAGTGCGTGCAAGTGTATTTATTTTATGTGTGTACTGTCAAAAGTTTTTGTTCTTAATTTAAATATTACTGTAAAGCATTCATCATGTTATCATTTAATTCTAAATTATATATACTGACAAACCTCAAGTAACAGGTTCATGTTTTTCTCTATTAGTCCTTCATTCTTAATTTTCAACTCCCTTGATTCAATGAGATTTAATGAATGCCTGCAGGGAGCTTTAGAAAAACACACAAGAAGCTTCTTTAGCTTACTCTTTTGTATGTGTAGAAACTCTTCATGATATTTAAAAGGCAGGCCTGACAGTCATCAATTGCGAGTCATTTCAAGAGTGCACTCTTAAATCAATTTCTTTTGATACTGATCTATGCGACTAGCAGCCTGTATATTGATAAAAAATAATGCAGTGTGGATGGCAGGAACTATTCACATTTAATGAATAACTTGGGGTCAGCCATCTGAGGATTAAAGTCATCTTGCACTACACTTTATACACGAGTACACGTGTACATGAGATTCCTGAGATTCTCAATGAAGAACCGTAACTTCTTATAAAAGAAGACATAAGTTTTTTTCATTTATCAACAGTTGTCTCAAAAGGAATTTTATGATTAATCCAGACTGTGTGGTGGCTTGAGAGGACACTTGGTGAAAAGGTCATGTTTTGAAGTGTGAAATTAATTGATTGCCCACCAAAGGATATTGGGACTAGTTGATCTCAGCCAATAGTTATTTTCAATGAAATGCAACGCAGCACTCAAAACCAATGTAAAAGTACCCTGCGCATGAAGAAGATGTAATCGGCCCTTTGCTAAGCCTTGCCCCCTTCCACTACTCTGTCAAGCTGTCAAATCTACCATGGAGCACACACACTCTCACTAACTGCACTCCATGAATAAGTGTCAAATATTTTTGAAAAACAAGAAGAGATTTTCAAAGAGAGGCAGAAAGAAGGGTCACAATTTTACAATATTTGTTTGAATTATATATCCAGGATGTCAAACTGATTCAGCAATGTGTTATACATTCAGTATACCTTCAGCAGTGTGAGTAGCATAGAAGTACTTATGCTAGTTAATGTACCCTGCAAATGATAGCTCCATAGGTTTTTATGTAGAAACCTAACGTTTGAGAAAAGTACATCTCCTTCCAACCTCTCAGTGAAGGTTCAGTTAAGACGGCTGATCAAAATGAATCAATAAAGATACAGGTAAAGACTATGCTATACTCGTATACGCATTTAACATTTTTTACAATGATCAAAGTGTAACATTTGTCACGTTAAGTGTTTCACATGGACTGAAATGCATCAAAAGTGTCTTTTGAACTGCACATGAATATATCTGTATACGGTGTCTTAAGTTCATACTTTCAGTGCAGTCCAACAGTGAGTGATGAAAATCAGCTCGAACTCCCAAGCACATAATGTTTTCCCATCGAGCACGAGAATAAAGACAGTCAGTGTGAGACTTTCTTAACTGTTTCAACCTGTGAATCAGTTTGAAATGAGGAGCGTGACATTGTCTGGCTTATGGAGACAAGAAAACTACTTC